TAAAGTCGGCGACGCGGCACACGTACGTCTGCTAGCCCGCTGGCTTTCCGCGCGTGTTGTGACGTCATCGCTATAGCGAGATAGTGAGAATAATTCAGAAAAATGATGCGAGGGAGACATTGACTGAAAGGAAACGAGAGATAATAAACAAGAGAGAAGGTGCAACAGGAGAGAGAGGAGATGGACAGGGGGACAGGGAGAGAGAGAGAGAGAGAGAGAGAGAGAGAGAGAGAGAGAGAGAGATGGAGATAGAGCGAAAGAGAGAGAGAGATGTTGTGCGAGAGTAAATCAACACATCCTTTCAGGATGCTATATAATGAATTAACATAATGTATGACCGCGTGCATGTAGCCCTAACTGGTACGCCAGTTACCCTGACCTTCCTATATGACTAGTATATACGATATATGCATGTTCATATATATATATATATACAGATATATATATATATATATATATATATATGTATATATGAACGCTAAATACTGACAGTTATAAAGAGAAGATTGAATCACAGTAGATAACACTTCACCGCTGAGCGAAAAAGCTTTCCATTGATCACACTCTGAGAATGTCACAATCTATTTCTTTCTTCGAATCCATTCTTTAAACGAAATGAGAGCTCCTTCGACGTCACAATTAATGATGTCACGCTTACGTCACTGTTACGTCACGCGTTTGTAGAGAAAATGTGTCTCTCAGTATTTTGTCATCTCACGAAATATCTTATATTGTTTGGAAGTTCCGAAATATAATTTTTCGTTGATAGAACTTCACGTTTTTTTCATCACGTCTGAAACTTGCAATTGGTTTATGTTCTTAATTCGCAGCTAACGTATGTGACATAGATTCATTCTCTTCATTCATATATTGCTTTCAACAGGCGATATTCACAAACGTGAACTGTAAGCAAGTTATCGTCCTTATGACGTAAAAATGGGCAGAAAAACACGATGAGCGTAAAACATCGTGTTTACAACGATATTTGTGTAAACAATAATAAACATTGTAGACCATTAACGAGGCTGTTTATCTGGTGCAGTGCAGACGGCACGTCACGATAACTCTGATCGCTGATTGGCTCATATCGAATGCAGATGCCGTGTCACGGTAATGCTGACTGCTGATTGGCTGATATCGAATGCAGACGACAGCTGAGGATGATTCTGACTGCTGATTGGACGATATCAAATGCAGACGACAGCTAATAACAACCCTGACTGCTGATTGGTCGATATCGAATGCAGACGACAGCTGAGGATGATTCTGACTGCTGATTGGACGATATCAAATGCAGACGACAGCTAATAACAACCCTGACTGCTGATTGGTCGATATCGAATGCAGACGACATGTTTACACAACCCTGACTGCTGCTTGTTTATGACAACAACAGTAGTGTACATGCAGTAGTGGTGAGACCACAGGCACTTGAAGCGTTTCAATAAAATATAATGCTAAATAAATACGAAATCTATTTACTACCAAATTCTTAATGTTTCTATACTCTCTTTCACCTATTATTGCCGACAGTTTCCTGTAAATTCCGTCCAAATCCTCTATGTGCAACACATGCTACCGGCCGCCATGGCTGCTGCTGCACACTAACACTTAAATATATAGTACTATATATTTAAGTGTTAGTGTGCAGCGGTAGCCATGGGCATGGGCATATATATTTAGCATTATATTTTATTGAAACGCTTCAAGTGCCTGTGGGTGAGACAGAGGCAATCGTGAGCGGACACAGGGGTGAGGTGCATGTTTATTAATGTCTGCCCTCATTCCTGCTGCCTTCTCTCTCTCTACAGGGAACTCTTGGCTGTTTCCTCGACTGCGTGTCCTTCCCCCGATCATCTAACTGGCTGCTCCCTCCGTCGAACACCCACCCTGATGTATGACCAGTACCCTGGCTGTTCACTCTATCAATTGCCCTCCCTGGCATACAATCACTGCTCTGGCTGTTCCCACTATTGACTGCCCTCCCTCGCATATGGCCACTGCTCTGGCTTTTCCATCCACTGCGCTGCCTCCCCGGCCCAGCGATCGACGCCCTCTCCTCCCGCGAGGCGGCGAGACGAACGGATGCTCTTGTGTTATAGCTCGTCGTGGGCGACGTCGGCGTCTGCGAACCAGTCGTCGTAGACGCGGTAGGGGTCGACCATCCAGTGCTTGTGGAAGGAGACAGGCAGCTGGTGGCTGAGCATGTCCTCACTGTAGTCCTCAGGCCTTGCCTGCAAACACACGCCGACACATGGGATCATATTACTGACGTCACACACACACGACAGGGGGCGCTAGGGTGGCAGCCGACTTAGTAGACGAGAGGGAGAGGGGGGGGGGTTGATTTGCATATCAATGTTGATATGTATAGTTTCATAGTTGTGTACAAACACAATGTACATAGTGCTATGCAGTCTCACCGCATGCACGCCGCTGTGCACAAACACACAGACGTAGGGAGAGTGTGTAAATGGGGAATAACGGGAGAATAATAGATGTATAGCATAGGAATAACGGATAAATGACGAGGGAATGACGGAGGAATGATGGGAGAATAAAGCCCGCCGCACACGCTGTGGAACTTGCGGCGCCATCGTCCACAGCGTGTGCGGATGCAAAATCCCTCGATCTGCGTCGTGTGGAAAATATCACACGTGTTTGATATTTTCTTCCACGTGTGAAAGATTAAACAGTGTGTGCGGAGTGGCTGTGTAAATTTCCACACTCAATTCGCATTGTTCTTGATTGTTCGCTTGGACACGGAGCGTCGTTGAAGAGAGCGTTCACACGACGTTTGATCGATCAGTTCTTGGACATGCCTCTATATATGCGAGCTGCCTGATATGCGAGCTGAGAAAAAAATCGTCCAAGCGAACAATCAAGCAAACAATGCGAATTGAGTGTGGAACTTTACACAGCCACTCCGCACACGCTGTTCAATCTTCCACACGTGGAAGAAAATATCAAACACGTTACACGTGTGATATTTTCCACACGACGCAGATCGAGGGATTTTGCGTCCGCACACGCTGTGGACGATGGCGCAGCAAGTTCCACAGCGTGTGCGGCGGGCTTTATAAGGGAATAACTGAGAAATGACGAGGGAATGACAGAGTAATACTGGGAGAATGACAAGAAAATGACTGAGGAATGGCAGGGAAATTATGGAGGAATAATGGAAGAATAATGAGGGAATGACGGAGCAATGATTAGGACACACAGGGGCGTGTACAGGGGGGGTCCAGGGGGTGCGGACCCCTCCCCCTGCTCGCGCAGAAAACGCATCTGAGGGGGTCTAATTTCAAAAATTTTCAACCCAGACCCCCCCTTCGCGTACTCGCAAGTATGTGTTACGGTTAGACCCCCCCCCTGGTCCAAATCCTGTACACGCCCCTGCCACTCCGTGTGCACCTCACCTGGTGGAAGTAGGGTGAGTGAGTGACGGGGATGCCAAGTGACTTGAGGCACATGCCGATGGTCATGTCATCCGGCGTGTCCGGCGTGGGACACATGCAGCGACCGCTGTCCAGCATCTGTCTGACCGCCGTGATGCTGAACACCATGCTACAACACACACACACACACACACGTACGTCATCATGGGATATCACGGGTCATCACAGGTCATCATGGGTCAACACGTGTCATCACGGGTCATCACAGGTCATGATGTGTCATCACGGGTTATCATGGGTCATCATGGGTCATCACAGGTCATCACGGGTCATCATGGGTCATCATGGGTTATCATGACTTACCCACTGCTTATCATTAGACATTCATTTGAAATTTATTGATCACCACTTTATGGTTATTTGTTATCGTTACCAGTTTCACATTATCCGTGATAGCTGGCCATGCAGACGTCATTCATCCGTCATTCATCCGTCATTCACTTACAGCTCACTCTCTAATTACTCATAAGACAACCACTGGTCACCACCCGGCCAAAACCGAGATCTAGCATGAACCACGCGATGATGTGCCGTTGCCATGGTGACGTGCTCACCTGCTGCCTCCGGTGAGGTAGTCGTAGCCGAAGCCAGCCGTCGCTCCGTACGCGTACCTCTCTCCCAGCGCTACAGCCTGCCGGGGGTCGTAACACGCCAGCAGCTGAAGCATCCGCCGCACGCTGCAACACAGATGACAGATAGGGGGCGCTACGGGCGGTGCCTGATGAGAGGGGGCGCCACGTGATAGCGTAGACGGGTCGGTGGCTTAGTTACTGTTGCGTGTTAAAATCGCTGGTGTTGTTTTGATTGATTGATCAATTGATTGAGTGATTGATGAATTGATTTATGTATGGTTAGACTGATTGATTAAATGAATGACTGAATGAATAAATGACCGATTGATTGATTGATTGATATATTGATGAACTGTTGATTGATTCAATAATTGCTCTCTCTTGCTTGAGTGAATGAATAAACAACTGATTGATTAATTTATTGATTGATTTATTGATCACTGTTACCTGAGCAGCGTGTCATCATCTGCGATCACCAGCCACTGCATCTTGCTGATGAGTGGTTGTTCTAAGGCACGGCGTAGTATCGCAAACGTCTTGGCACAGTGCCCTGCGAAAACAACCCATGACGTCACCAGCCAGATCTCTTAAACAGTGATGTCATCACTACGAGCATAGTCTATAAGCGGTGATGTCATCGCTAACAGCATAATCTATAAGTGGTGATGTCATCACTACCAGCCATTTCCCCTAAACAGTGATGTCATCACTACCAGCATAATCTATAAGTGGTGATGTCATCACTACCAGCCATTTCCCCTAAACAGTGATGTCATCACTACCAGCATAATCTATAAGTGGTGATGTCATCACTACCAGCCATTTCCCCTAAACAGTGATGTCATCACTACCAGCATAATCTATAAGTGGTGATGTCATCACTACCAGCCATTTCCCCTAAACAGTGATGTCATCACTACCAGCATAATCTATAAGTGGTGATGTCATCACTACCAGCCATTTCCCC